TAAAGGCGCTCCTGTGATTAGTAGTAAATCTCCAGCACATGCTTTCAGATGGAGCGCATTTACTACACAGACCAACACTGACAAGCTACACAAAATCGCGTTCATAATCGGCAATGAATCGCCTGCGATTATGAACACGATTTTGCGTAGCTTGTCAGTGAACTACGGCTCTGTGAAGTAAATGCGTTCCATCTGAAAGCACGTGCTGGAGATTTATTACTAATCACAGGAGCGCCTTTACTGACGAGATGCGCATGAAAATCGCATTCTATATTTTGCACAGCCCATCAACTTCGCGCTGTGGATCGCCGGATCAGCTTTCACCGTGGACGAAGTGGAGTCCAGTCCGGGGTCATCACATATGGTTGCCGCAAGCCCGCCAGCCGCGCCGTTCTCAAGCCCGCCGGCCGTTCCTCACTCTAGCCCGCCACTGATGATTCAAACGCGAGTTTTGAGCAGTGTAGAGTAGCACTTGTTGTTTGTCATTTCTCCGATCACAAATGCAGACATGGTTTTATGTTTACGCGGCGCGGCGCGATGCAACGCGTAAAAAGACAGTATAAGTCATTATAATCCGTAATTATGTGTAATTATTATGCATTCTGAGGAAGGATGTGTGGGCGACATGCATATTTTTTTAGAAGTATATTATAATTCTGAAACATTAGGCTAACTTATTGAGAGGACTCACCAGAGCCAGCCGTCCCAGAATGCACCACCTCCATGTATACCTCAAAGGGTGACCCGGGGCTCTCCCTGTAACAGAAATAACACCGGGTCAAGGGTCAGAAGTCAAATACAAAATCAACTCTAAGGAATGTGACTACAAAGTAAGACTTTTACAAGAAAATCAACAGTAAAATTTAGTATAGTTTAGTATTTTATATATTAATTTTAAAGTTGTTGTTTTGTTTTTTTAACACCGGCTCTGGTACCATGTTGGTGGAAAAGCAGTAAATGTGAGCATGCAAAACATATGACTTCTGCAAAAATAGCATCCAGTCATAATGTCAGGCTAACAAATGAAAAATGTAATTAAATTGCTCTTGTCATTTAAGTAAGGGACTATGATCTGATGTGAGGTCAAAAGTGAGATGAATATAGTCACATTCCCCACATTACAGAAAGTAGCAAAAAGAAGACCCTATTAAATAACCAAACCAGAAACCACAAGATAATTTTTTCAGCTATTTGGAAATGAAAGCAGCTGAGTGTAATTTAAAAATAAAGCATTGACTAACAAACTTTTTCAAGTATTTTACAAGTGTTGCAGAAACCTGTGTGAGGAATGATTTGAATTAAAATTTGGTCAGAGTATGGCGCAAATACAACAGACATAAATCCATAAAGATACTATTAAAGCAAAGTAAAGATACTATAATGATAATATTTAAACAACTTAAACATATAACCTAAACCTGTTCTAGAAGTGATTGTTTAAAAATATCAGAGTTCATGATATCTAATACCTTTACTATCAACTATTAACAGAAAGATCTACAAACTTCACACACTGAATGTCTTTTCCATCATGTGGCTGCACAAGTGAAGCATGTACTAATCTTTAAAGTGAGGGAAAATGTGTTTAAACCCGACTTTGTTCTGTCCTTCAGGCTGTTTCCAAAACAGTCTTATCATGGGCTGATTTTAAACCCTGAAAAACACTGTGAGCACAGCAAGGCACTGACTGGCCTCTATCATGTCTTATTCATAAAGTGCATTGAATTACCAAAGCAAGTAAGTGTCACCTGTCAATAGACTCCAAAACCTCCATATAGATATATATTTCTACTTTCTTTCACATAGATATGCATTTGTTTGATCATGTTGTGAATATTGTTTCTTATTAACATAACAAAGTTAACATAAATTCATTGCTGTAGGACATGTAAACAATGATCAGTGACATGGACTTCGTGTGCATCCACCTATAAGACAGTACTGTACAAATACACAACCCTCCAGGTAATATAATACATCAAAACAGAATTAAGTACTACATTAACACCCAAAGTAAAATAAACACCCAAAGCAGTCTCTCTCTGTCGCAACAAGTCCAAACGGGCCTTTTAGGGAGGTCAAAACTCGCATTTAGAACAACACTGTATGTAATAAAGGAAGGGAGAGAGACATTGGCGCTTACTTGATACGAGAGCCCATTTTATCCTCTATTCAAATCCAATCCTTTCCTCAGAATAATGTGACAATAACTCGCTATCGGAGTTATATTTCCCGTTATCCCCGTCACATTCTGCACAGGAACGCCATGGTCTCCACGCGCGGATCACGGTACTACGGCCTCAGGGAATTATGGGAGTAGTAGTTTTCTGGGCGTGTCTCCGGCTGTCGATCGACACAACGCCGAACTACATTTCCCACACAGCGAAAAATTCGTGGCATGCGAGTCGCCTGACACAGAAGGGAGTGTAGTATGAAGCCTGGGCATTGCAACAATGAATTGCAATAACAACTGTCACAGCTGTATGGCAGATGGTCAGTGTGGATGTGCATGTTGATAGGAGTGCTGTGACTGAGTCAGAGTCTACTGTGATATTTTGTTGATTGGGTTGCCTACAGAGCCTGTTGATGGGAAATCAACTTAAAATTAGGTTGCTGGTAGTGTTATTGTATTGTTCTTTCTTTCTTTTAGACACACCTATACACAAATAATAATAATAAAAATAATAACTATCTATATATATATAGATTTGTTTGTTTGTTTTTTTCATTTGTGCATTTATACATTTTTACATGAACATTATATAATAAAAGTCATTTTATTATTGGCCTAGTATATTATCTCTGACTGGATGGCAACTGTGTCTATGATCATTTTATTGTGTAATTCAGTTCGAGTCAGTATCAGTATATTGCATTTTACTTGGGGTTGCACTGCTTATAACTCCTTGTATATTTATAAATAGAGTTTGCTGTTTCAGAATAGAATAGAATAGAACGCATGCGCTTGTTGCAACATACATTGTATAAAGTGAATATGTAGCTATAAGCTATTTCTTGCTATTCCAAAAAATGACTTTAATTAGTTGCCTATAAACACTGTAGTCAAGTTAATTCAGTCATATTAACATGATTCAGGAAGGATCCATGATTGCCTATGAGGTGCATGCGGGCAAACAGCGGTTACCTCCTCCTGTCCCTATAAGCGCGCGGAGTCCGAAGTATTTATTCAAAAGCCTGACTGAGTAGACAGACCTCCACATGGAGACGGAAATTAGATTAAATCTTTAGAGACATCTCATCATTTCCCTGACCCAAAGGAGTTATATAGACACCGCGGGAGAGAAGGACCGCACTGCTCTACTACAACATGGAAAACAACGAATCGGTAAGTATTCATTTTATTATTTTGATAACAGATAAATATATAAACAGATACATCCTGTTTTGTTTTGTTTTTTGTTTTGTTTTTTACTTTCAGCAATGTAAAAAGTGAAAGTGTGCAGTTGTAAGCAGTCTGTAGGTCAATAGGTGTATTGAACAAGTTGATTCAGTCATGTTAAATAATCATTTTGAGTTTATAAAACCTGTTCATTTAGATGTTACAATATTACATACATTTTTATTTTATTTTACTATCTTTCTTTTAGACACACCTATACACAAATAATAATAATAAAAATAATAACTATCTATATATATATAGATTTGTTTGTTTGTTTTTTTCATTTGTGCATTTATACATTTTTACATGAACATTATATAATAAAAGTCATTTTATTATTGGCCTAGTATATTATCTCTGACTGGATGGCAACTGTGTCTATGATCATTTTATTGTGTAATTCAGTTCGAGTCAGTATCAGTATATTGCATTTTACTTGGGGTTGCACTGCTTATAACTCCTTGTATATTTATAAATAGAGTTTGCTGTTTCAGAATAGAATAGAATAGAACGCATGCGCTTGTTGCAACATACATTGTATAAAGTGAATATGTAGCTATAAGCTATTTCTTGCTATTCCAAAAAATGACTTTAATTAGTTGCCTATAAACACTGTAGTCAAGTTAATTCAGTCATATTAACATGATTCAGGAAGGATCCATGATTGCCTATGAGGTGCATGCGGGCAAACAGCGGTTACCTCCTCCTGTCCCTATAAGCGCGCGGAGTCCGAAGTATTTATTCAAAAGCCTGACTGAGTAGACAGACCTCCACATGGAGACGGAAATTAGATTAAATCTTTAGAGACATCTCATCATTTCCCTGACCCAAAGGAGTTATATAGACACCGCGGGAGAGAAGGACCGCACTGCTCTACTACAACATGGAAAACAACGAATCGGTAAGAATTCATTTTATTCTTTTGTAATATAAATATTAATAGATAAATCCTGTTTTGTTTTGTTTTTTGTTTTGGTTTTTTACTTTCAGCAATGTAAAAAGTGAAAGTGTGCAGTTGTAAACAGTCTGTAGGTCAATAGGTGTATTGAACAAGTTGATTCAGTCATGTTAAATAATCATTTAGTTTATAAAACCTGTTAATTTAGATGTTACAATATTACATACATTTTTATTTTATTTTACTAGTTACCTGAGAAGACATGTTTTATATTTTTATAAGACATGGAATAGGTATTCAATTCAGTATATAATATTTAGCCTACAGCATTAGCTACTTAATATGAAAAGTGAGAATTGTGTTTTTAAATATATATTAAGTTAAAATGAAGTATTAACAATATTAATATTAATATCAACACCATTAAATTAACAATTGTGTGACATATTTATGTTTATGTGTTGTGTATACATTTTAATGTTGCAAATACACAAGTTCTGCATGGCACAACTGTAGCCTACAGTGAACCACACAAGCTATATAGGCTATGAATGGTGGGAAAATATTCATGAATTATTTTTAGGCTGATTAATGAGGAAGTAGTCTGCTTCAAAACATTATTTATTCATATAAATAAATTAAATATTCATGCATTCACATAATATTAAGAGTTTTTGAAAATGAACGAGAACTCGTAAAGAGCCATATATGTATTCAACCGATTTTGGTATCATTTATGACAACTTAAATTCAGAATGTTTGATAGCGGCGGTAAATGTTTACCTGTGGTGTTCCAGGGCTGTGAGTCACCGGTGTGCGCGGGCTGTGGCGCGCTGATCTCAGATCGCTTCTACCTGCTCGCGGCAGACAGAAGGTGGCACGAGCGGTTTTTGAAATGCAGCGCGTGCCACGCTGACCTGGAGTCAGAGATCACGTGCTTCAGTAAACACGGAGACATTTACTGTAAGGAGGACTATTACAGGTAAAATAAATGTATATATAGACAAACCTAGACAAAATATCTCTATTCAACTTCGAAACGAAACTGTTAGGCCTACTCACCGCGTTGCTCTTACTTCACACAGGGGCTAGTTGTCACAGCGAATATTTCTCAGAGTAGGTTTTGTTTTTTGCTCTAATGTGTTTAATCCCCATCATTATTTACCAGAAAGAAAAGAAAAAATCCAGTTCATTTAACGAACGTTGAACTTTCACCCCAATAAAGCGTCAGGTTATCACACGCAGTAATTTGTCAAAATGTGAACCTGTTGTTTATTGACACTGATTTGAAAATAATAAAGCTATCATTTAATAAAATTTTATCCAAAGTTAAAAAAAAAAAATAGAAGATGTAGAACATTTCATTTAAAAAATGCAAAAGATGTCAACTAAACACTTAACCATTGTTTTGTGACAAGTTGCCCCAACAATCCTGTCCAGAGTTTTCACATTTCACACATGAAGTTAAAATATATCTGATTAATAATAAAGATGCATTCTCTTAAGTAGGAGGTTTTCTTCACAAAGATGTGTGCAGTGCCACCTGGGAATCTCTGCCGCAGAGCTGGTGATGCACGCTGGGGATCTGGTGTACCACTTGAGCTGTTTTTCCTGTGCCACCTGCGACAAAGTGCTGTTCACTGGAGATCACTACGGGATGAGAGAGACGTCAGTGTATTGCTGGGTACATTTCGAGATGATGCTGCAGAGGGAATGTCTTACAGAATTGTATTATTCAGACATGTCTCCAGGAGAGCTAAATCATGAGAGCGGCACATACAATGAAGGGACACCTGTGCACAGAGAACGGGCCCAGAAGAGGAAAAACTTTGATGCAACAGACCATGTGTCTTATAATTCAGGTAATGCATTTTAGATATTAGCATAATTGTATATATTTGCATAATCTGTATTTTTACACTACCTGTCAAAAGTTTGAAATAATTAAGACTTTTAAATGTTTTTTAAAGTCTTATACTCACCAAGTCTGTATATATTTGATTAAAAATACAGTAAAAACAGTAATATTGCAAAATATTATTACAATTTAAAGTAACTGTTTTCTATTTTAATATATTTTAAGTGTAATTTATTCATGCAATGGCAAAGCTGTTGAAAATAGTTGTGTTGCTTATTTATTTATTTATTTATTTCTGTGAAAACCATGATACACTACCATTCAATAGCTTTGGGGTAAGTAAGTAAAATAAAAAGAAATAATTAATTTACCTTTTTATTCATCAAAGAATTCTGAAAAAAAATGCGTCCTAGATTCCAGAAGCAGCAAAAACAGCTTCAACATCGTTAATAAGAACCATTATTAATATTTGAGCACCAAAGCATCATATTAGAATGATTTATGAAGGATCATGTGACTCTGAATACTCAAAATATACTCACCGTATACTCAAGCAGTTGTTTTAAATTTGAATAATATTTTCGAATATTATTGCTTTTACCGAATATTATTGTTTTTATTTTGATTAAATAAATGCAGCCTTGGTTAACATAAGAGACTGCTTCAAAAAATTTAAAAACCTTAATTATTCCAAACTTTTGACCGGTAGTATATACATATTGGATTTATTTGGGATTAACTGAATAAAAATATAAATAGTTCTTATCAAACAATATGTCAGCATTATGAAGTCTGATCTCATAAAAAAAAAATTATAATAATAATTTAAAAGTAAAATACAATTGTTATTTTAATATTAATACAATTTTACTTGTTAATATGTAAATTTACTTAATATATAAAAATAATATATAAAATATATCATATATAAAAAAATAGAATTTACTTAATAATATATTTTAAAAAACTTGTAATTAATTATTACTATAAATATTATAGATTGACTGTAGTAAACCATGTTCTATATAAAATGGTTTTTAAGAGTGAATTATAATAGTTCTGGTACTTTTGTTCTCATGTAAATCCATGCAGAAGATGAAAATGGGAAGACAATGTTCGCTATTGTTGACAGTAATGCCCTGGCCTTTAGTGTTTCAGTGAGTCATATCAGTGATGATTAACGGTTTGTGTGTGCTCTAGATGTGAGCGATATGGGTGTGGACTTGTCGGCGAGAGTGAGCTGTCAGAAGTCCAGACGCATGAGAACGTCTTTCAAGCATCACCAGCTGCGGAGCATGCAGAACTTCTTCACCCACAACCACAATCCAGATGCCAAAGACCTCAAAGAGCTCGCCCAGAAAACGGGCCTCACCAAACGTGTGCTCCAGGTCAGAAAAACATCTCTGGACCTTTGTTTGACTTAGATATACAGTGGGCTCCAAAAGTCTGAGACCACATTGAAAATGTAGCTTTCAAAATCTAATTTAAATATGGAAATAAACAGAAAGGTTTAGAATGGAAGCTTGTTTTTTCTCAGAGTTTATATCTCACAATGCTGAGTCTATATCTTGTAATTGCGAGTTTACATCTCGTTTACATCTCACAATTTCTAATGGTGTCAAATCCTAATGATGAATTCTGAGTTTACATCTCACAATTCAGACTTCTGAATTTACAAAAAAGACAAAATTGTGAGATATAAACTCATTGCGAGAAAAAATGTCAGAATTGTACGATAAGTCGCAATTACCTTTTTTTTTATCCCATGTAAGCTTCCATAATTGCAGAATTACAAGAAAAAAAAGTCAGAATTGCAAGATGTCAATTCACAATTACAAGATTATGACTTGCAATATTGAGATATAAAATTGCATTTCTGGGAAAAAAAAAAAAAGTCTGAATTGTGAGGGAAAAAGTCAGAAGTGCGAGTCATAAAATTGCGATAAAATGAGATAAAAAGGAGAGATGTAAAGTTTATAACTTGAAATTGCAAGATATAAAATTGAAATTCTGAGAAAAGATGTCAGAACTGTGAGATAAAAAAAAAAAGTTGCAATTAACTTTTAAATTTTTTTTGGAACAAGCTTTCATAATTGCGAGAAAAAAGTTAGAAGCGTGAAATCTAAACTTACAATTGTTAGAAAAAGTCAGAATTATGAGATAAAAAGTTGCAATTACCTCTTTTATTTTTTTATTCCATGGTAGAAACGGGTTTCCATGGTGTAGGATTTAGAAACTGTTTAAATGAACGTTATGATGTAAAATGAATACAAAATATTTGAGGTTTGGCACTATTTCTAGGCCACTAATCAAAGTAAATTTACAACACTGATCATGTGATTCCTTTGCATACAGACAGTCAGATGTTCTTGTTTCCATTAAAAAATCTCTCGTTTCTCTATCACTGATATGTAAATAAGCGTAATGGTGTCAAATCCAATGATGTCTTTATTTTCTGCAGGTCTGGTTCCAGAACACCCGTGCAAAATTCAGGAGAAACTGTCTGTATCAGGAGAGCATGGGAGTAGACAATGTCTCTGACAATTCCACAATCACGTCTCCATCAGTGCCTTCACCCGAACTGTCCCACAGATCCCTGAGCCCGTCCAGCCCCACCGGCACCTCTCTATCACAACACACACAAAACACAACAGCATTAGCCAGTCACAGCGCTCACTCGTCAGTGTCTTAATAATCAAATCAAAATAGTTGATTATTATTATATTACCTTCAGATCAGTGTATTGGTTACACCCTTAAAAATAAAGGTTCTTAATTGGCATCTGTGGTTCCCTGAAGAACCTTTATATTTTTACATTTAAAAAAAAAAAAAGTGTATTAATATGCAATATGCACCTATAAATGTTTCAAAGAGTGGCATGTTAAATTGTTACAGGAAATTGTTGTTTTTTTATATCCACAAGTTGCATCCAGATGTCATCTTGGAAATGATCAAAAAATACAGTAAAGGCATTTTAAACTGTCTATTCATCAAAACAACCAGGAAAAATGTATCACAGTTTTCACAATAATATTAAGCAGCAAAACCTGTTTTCAGCTTTGACAATGATAAGAAATGTTTCTTGAGCAGCAAATCAGCATATTAGAATGATTTCTGAAGGTTCGTGTGACACTGAAGACTGGAGAAATGATGCTGATGACCATTCAGCTTTGCATCACTGGAATAAATTACATTTTACAATATATTTAAATAGAAAAGAGCTATTTAAAATTGCAATAATATTTCACAATATTGCTGTTTTACTGTATTCTTGGTCAAATAAATGCAGCCTTGGTAAGCAAAAAAGACTTCATTCAAAAACATTCAAATATCTTACCAACCTCAATCTTTTGAACGGTAGTGTGTTACTTATATCAAGTCATTAAAACTGTAAATCATCATTTTAGATCTTTCAGGACTGAACTGAACAGTGAACAATGTACTTGCACATGCATACAATCACATACATATACACCCATACCCACACAGAGAAAAATCAGATGTGGTTACTTTTATTTGAACTCTCTGAAAAAGATTAACTAGGCTTAAAAAAAAATCACATTCTGAAAATAAGATGTTTGTTTATTCAGCACTGGCGTGTGTGGGCGTTTGATTATTTTAACTCTGATTATATGCGAGCGGTGTGTGTACTCGTGTGTTGTTTTCTTATTTTCTGTGAGTGTGTGAGAGTTTGCGTGTGTAAAGTTTGTCCAAAGTAATTATCCTGATCCCTACTGAGGTGATTGTGGTTTGCATTGTGCAGTTACGAGCTGAGACTGAAGTCAGCCAGTGCTGGAGAGATTGGCAGAGATACGCGGTCACAGCATCAAAAAGAGAAAGAGATCCGCTGCTGTCTTTCTTCCATGACCGCATTTTTTATTAGCTGTTAATGAAGTCTTGGTTTTACTTTGTAGAAAATATTTTCCGGAATTTCTCTTCGTTAGGGGTTCTTTAAAATTCTGCACAGTCGTCGAATGAAGAATTTCACCCGGAATATGGGAAGAGGAAGAGGAACGTAGAAATAATTAAGGAGTGTTGTTTGAGTTGGACTATTTCTATATGCTGCACAATTCATGCTTGTGGTTGTGGTTCGACCAAGTGTTTACCACGAGGAAGCACGTGTGTGTGTGTGTGTGGTTCGTGTTTACGCATGTGTGCCTTTATCTCATTCCCACAGACCACACCAGACACTTACATGGAAAGTATATACACACGTGATTTAAGTATATCTTTGTATTTGCTTTTCTTTCATTTTCTTCTTATTTTATTTATCTTTTATTTGTATTTATCTTTTATTTTTGTCTTTGCATATTTACTTTGGAAACTTTAAAGGGGCCATATGATGCGATTTTCCTTTCTCTTTGGAGTGTTACAAGCTGTTCGTGAATAGATAAGATCCCTAAAGTTGCAAAGACTAAAGTCTCAAACCCAAAGAGATATTCTTTATAAAAGTTAAGACTCACGCCCTCCTAAAACACGCCCCCACATGTCTACGTCACTGTGTGGGAAGATTTGCATAACGAAAAATTCACCCCCTCACAGTTGTCATGAAGGGCAAAATTAGCTATATAGACCAAAACCACTTTTTGTACCAGGCTGTAAACATTTTTTTTTCTGCTGTAAAGTTGGGCATTTTAACATGGGGAGTCTATGGGACTGACTCCCTTTTGGAGCCACCCTCTAGCGGCCAGTCGATTAATTGCAGTTTTAGTCACTTCCGTGTTGGTTTCCGAGAGAGACTGGAAGGTTGCCGCTTGGTCACGCTTGAGGTATTCGGCCAATCACAATGCACTCGATAGCTGGCCAATCAGAGCACACCTGGCTTTTCAGAACAAGGAGCTTTGTAAAAACCAACGCGTTTCAGAAAGGCGGGGCATAGAGGAGAAACAATAATGTACAGTATGTGGAAAATAATGTTTTTTGAACCTTAAACCGCATAAACATTTCATTACACCAAATACACAAAACAATGTTCTTTTTAGCAACATCATATGACCCCTTTAATACATTAAATACTAAATGTGTACTAAAGTGTTAATTTTCTGATACATCTACACTAATATTCAACAGTTTGAGGTTGGTAAGATTTTTTTAATGAGTTTGAAGGAAGTCTGTTATACCCATGGCTGCATTTATTTGATTCATATAAAAAAACCATTACGCCTATGGAGAGTCCCCACAAGGATAGCAAACCAGACGTGTGCGTGTGTGTGTGTAATTTGATACAAATTTGGAAATATTGTGAAAAAATATTACAATTCAAAATAATCCTTTTTTAATTTCAATATATTTAAATTGTGTGTGCGTGTGTGTGTGTTTAATATAGTATTTAAATGTTACTATTGAAAACATTTTCTATATTATTTTTATTAACGTTTTCTCAGAAAACTTTTCTGTTACTTTTGATAAATTTAATGCTTAGTTGCTTGATAAAAACATATCTATCTATCTATATACACATTTTTTATTTTTGTAAAGAGTGTAAAATATATTCAAAAGTTAAATTTAAATGTATTTAAATTAACATTATATTTTATAATACTATAATTATATATTGTAATATATGGGTTATATATCATAAAAACGTATATTATATTATATAATTTTTACACCCATTTTCCTAAACTTCCCTAATGACCCACAAATTTACCGGCTAGTCGTGGTACTGAATGATTACTGTATTCATGGTATTAATTCTCTCTCTCTCTCTCTCTCTCTCTCTCTCTCTCTAACTGTCTGAGACCTCGAGGGGGCGCTAGTGTATTTCAAATTTCTGAAATGCCTATGACCGCTCAAAAAAGAATAAAAATCCACAAACCACACATTCAGTCACAGTTCCTCTATGCACACACACACACACACTTAAAATGAAAAAGCAGAAGTCCTCCACATACTCTACCGTTTTATGTTATTCTTTTTTTAATGCCACTAAACAGAGATCTTTGCCACTTCCTCTAGTACAACACGTGTCAAACACGACTGTGTCTGCAACAGCAAACTTTGACATGGTGTCTGTGGGTGTTTTTGTTCATAATTTCCCCACAAGAATGACAACTATTCGGGTTGAAAATGAGCGTGTGTGCGTGCGAGAGACCGAGAGAGGCAGCAAACTCTAGAAAGGTGTGGGTCCGCTTTCCATAAACCATAGCAGGCCACATGAAAAGTCTGGGGCTTTTGCTCTTGTACCGTTATTGCCCTTGGGGTTACACCGAAACAATGTCATCACGATAGAATATCAACCTGCCTAAATTACCCATCCTATAGGTCAGGGTTGGGACGTATTAGGCTGTAGAGCTTAATTTATTAATTTCCAAAAGACAACATCTCTCTGTCAATATACCACTACTACTACTACTATGTTATTAAAAAATTATAAAGATAAAAGTCAACATTTATTTTTATTATTAAGTGGTATTCATATTGTCAATTAAATGAAATAAAATAAATAATGTAATATAAAAATAATTATTAGACCACCTATTATTGTTACATTTTTACTTATTATTATTATTAATATTATATAAATACATTAATAAAAACAAATTAAGTAAAAAATATTATAGAACAAATAATTATCAGACTACTTATTGTTAAATTATTATTATTATGTGGTTGTTGTCATTAAAATAAATAATATAATATAAAAATAATTATGACTCATTGTTAAATACTTCTAGTATGACTACTACTACCAATAACAATAAAATAATAATTATTATTTTAGTAGTAGTAGCCTAGTTATTAAGTGGTGACATTATCGTCACATTTAAATAAAATATAAAATAAATTATTATGAAACAAATTATTATCATTTAATAATAATAAGAAGAATTTTATGCTGCTAACCATAGAGCGAAACATCTGAATGACATCGGAATTGTTTTTTTTTTTCTTCCCTTACTGGGTCTCACAGAGAAAGTAGCTTACTGTAGTCACAGATCATAGCCATGTGATGCGCGGGGTGTGACTCAAACTTGCGTGGTCCGTGACATTAGTGAGTCTGGAAACTGACCAAAGGGGCTTTGCAGCATTTTTCAGCCCTGTAACTGTATGAGGCACCGCGCTGGAGAGGTAAGTACAACTGCTGCGTGACTTTTAACCCAGTTTGCTGTGAAAACACGATGCTCGTGCGCCTCGCTATACGGCGTTACAGTTGCACAACGTGTTCATGTTGAAGAGAAGGATCGTGCCAAATTATTCTTGGGGTGCATAACGTCGCTATAATGCAATAAGGAAAAAAGAGAGAGAATTTAAATGAACACATGGCTGTTTAGTTGCTCTGGATTAAATTTACATGGATCGACGCAAGGTAGGCAGTGCGAGTATCGCATATGCTTTAGGTCACATCTAATGCTCTTGCGCGGAAAGTAGATCTGTTTTGAAAGTTCATGCATCTGTTTTCTGCATATTAGGGCCTTAATTCCGCTCATTGATATGTTTCCAGAAGCTTTAATGGCAATAAATAAACCCAAAACAATTGTATCGCACTGTAAATACTGTATAGGGGAAATAAGCAAGTATAAAAGGCACATTAAGTATAAAATAAATGCTCCTCTAGTTCAGCGGGAACACCCACCTTCACACTGTAACTTCGATTATATGTGCAAATATAACGTACTGCTCTGAATCAACACTTGCATGTGATTATGGTTCGTTTATGATGATAATAAGTCGCTCTTAATGTTCAGTTATTTGTATGATAGTATTGCAGAGCGCTTGTTTTTTATAAGGAAAAGATGCCGTTCTGACTCCGCCCACACACTGTTTGTTTGTATCCATTCACGTGTTTTGGGACGCAAAAAGTCTTTTTTTTCTCCTTTTTATTGAGATGACTCATACTACAGGATGTTTCCAGAAGCTTTAATGGCAATAAATAAACCCAAAACAATTGTATCGCACTGTAAATACTGTATAGGGGAAATAAGCAAGTATAAAAGGCACATTAAGTATAAAATAAATGCTCCTCTAGTTCAGCGGGAACACCCACCTTCACACTGTAACTTCGATTATATGTGCAAATATAACGTACTGCTCTGAATCAACACTTGCATGTGATTATGGTTCGTTTATGATGATGATAAGTCGCTCTTAATGTTCAGTTATTTGTATGATAGTATTGCAGAGCGCTTGTTTTTTATAAGGAAAAGCTGCCGTTCTGACTCCGCCCACACACTGTTTGTTTGTATCCATTCACGTGTTTTGGGACGCAAAAAGTCTTTTTTTTCTCCTTTTTATTGAGATGACTCATACTACAGGAAACATGTTAAAAACACTGTATGATAGCAATAAACAAAAATTAAATATTAATATTAAAAATGTAGTTTAAAACGCTACTGAAAATTAATCACGTGGCATTCAGTAACTCGTAATAAACGAACAAGTCTTCAAAATATTAATTGTCTTCACAGTATTACTAAAACAGCATAAACTTGGGTAACTAAGTAGTTGACATGTCAAGTAGTCTCTTCCTGTCAAAATATTTAGGCTATTAAGATAATTAGTTGGTTGTAGTTTCCATCCAGGCGCAGTAGATCCGTGCCAAACAACTCAAACCTGTTCATTTTTGTGGCAGACTACGATGCAGTAGGCTACTGATGTCGGCTTCTTTCATCAAGTCAAATTATATTATCATGCAGGTCTGTTTGATCAGACACGTGTGTGTGGGTTTCTGTACACGCTCGGGCCTTTTTGGAAGTGAGATAGAGGATATGTGACGGGGGTTTTTGCTATGGAGTTGTTAGATCTGTAGCGTTTTACTGGGCGGAAACAGATGCGCGTGACTCATCAGAGTTAGAGGAAGACAGACTGCTTGAACCGCGCGCACTTTACTTTCCAAAAATTAAAATCTAAGCTGCTTTCTTCTGCTGAACACATCTATCTATCTATCTATCTTTCTATCTATCTATAATATCATGTTCAATTTAAGCAAAAAACATCAGAAATGTATCATTAAAAAATACAGTGAGTGACAATGCTTCAGGTATTATGAGATTACATTGGTACCTGTTTATTTTACAACTTGTATATTTCATTAAGTGATATAATGTTAATATAATTAAAATCTACTTTTTACCTCAGAAATATACTGATAACCACCATAAGTAAAACAAAGTATTTTACATTAAAATTACTTATCATGTGATGTTAAAGCATTTACAGTTTTTCACCATCTAGTACCAATTAACATTTTTACAGAGTAAAAGTCATTTTTTACAAAGTACAGTATTTTTTTTCTGTAAAAAGTTATTTTTATTTTTAAAGTTATCTACTACACCCTTTCCCATCCAGAAAAGTCACATGCTAGAAACAGTATACACTTTCATAAGTGTTATATGTGATTCTAAATATAGCCGCTGTGATACAAATCTCGTGTTGATAAGCATTAGCAAGATGACGCTTGTCAGGTTTCTAAGTATTCTATGGTTTCTAAGAAAAATGCGATTCACCGCTAACCCATCTGAAAATACACACCGTAAGCACACATAGGCAGTGTGGTTTTGGAAACATGCACAGTGGTGTGTGTTTGAACAGAGTGTTGCACCTCCATATGTGTGTCTTTGTTATAATGTTTCCTTTTGTGTTTGTGTGTGTGTGTGCATGTTTTTGCATGTGTGCATGTTTTTCTATCCCGATGGGGACTTAAACCAGAATACACACTGACTCATGGGGACTCGTGTCACTGTGGGGACCTAAATTGAGGTCACCATGGAGAAACAAGCTTATAAATCATACAGAATGAATTTTTTTTTTTTTTTTGAGAATGTAAAAATGCAGAAAGTTTTCTGTGAAGGGTATGTTTAGGTGTAGGATTGTGTGGGGTGATAGAATATACGGTTTGTACAGTATAAAAACCATTACACCTATGGAGAGTCCCCACAAGGATAGTAAACCAGACGTGTGTGTGTGTGTGTGTGTGTGTGTGTGTGCGTGCATGCGCGTTTTTGTTACAAATGAGGACATAAATTTGTATAATGACAAGGGTATGACATAGGTATTACAAGGAGAAGGTGACTTTTCAGGACATTACCCCATGTCCCCACTTTTCAAAACACATATAAATCACACAGAATGGAGTGTATTGAAAATCTGAAATAGCACAAAGTTTCCTGTAAGGGGTAGGTTTAGGGGTAGGGTTGGTTTAGGGCAATAGCACATACAGTTTGTACAGTATAAAAACCATTACGCCTAAAAAAACAAACCTGTGTGTGTGTGTGTGTGTGCGGCACTGATGCAGGCGGTAGGATAGAATTCTTCCTCTGCATTTTTCTTTACATGAATGGAAGGAAATTGGTACAGGACCACCCTCTCCTTCCCTTCCCCAAAATCTCTCTTTTGTTCATCCCTGTAAGCAGGAACTGACTTGTTTTTGTTTGTTTGTTTGTTTGCTTTAATGAGAAAAATATGTGCTCTGTGTGTACTGTGATCTATTTTAATATATGATTAACTACAGTATGATTATAGTAGTCAGCAGTATTACTGTACTCACGTTGGCTAGATAGTTTACACAGTCATTCAGTCTGTTTTCTCTTAGCGTACTGTCTTTATCTATCTATCTATCTATCTATCTATCTAGATATTTCCAAATATGCATCCAAAAATATACGTATAACTTTCTATCAATAGATAGATAGATAGGTATTTTTTTGGATATGTATTTGGATATTTGCATATATATCTCCAAATATATATCCAAAAATAACTCTATATAACTTTGCATAGATGCTGTTGACAACATTAAAGACAATATTAAAGGGTTAATTCACCCAAAAATGAAAATAAGCCCATGAATTACTTACCCTCAAGGCATCCTAGGTGTATATGACTTTCTTCTTTCAGACGAATCGGAGTTATATTAAAAATTGTCTTTGATCTTCCAAGCTGTTTAATGGCACTCAGCGGTGCTGCAGTGAATCAGTCCAAAAGAAGTGAAATAAAGCGCATCCATCCATAATAAAAAGTGCCTCACACCGCTCCGGGGTGTGAACAAAGGCCTCCTGTAGTGAATCGATGCATTTTTGTAAGAAAAATAACCATATTTAAAACGTAATATTACATTTAATCTAGCTTGCGCTCACTGTTGTAAACGGAAGCAGTTCCGGGCGGATGACGTATGAGGTTGGCGTTCATCTGAAAGAAGGAAGTCATATACACCTATGATGGCTTGAGGGTAAGTAAATAATGGACTAATTTTCATTTTTGGGTGAACTATCCCTTTAAAGCACATGTGCACGCACGCACACACAAACACACTTAAAAACGTGTTCAACACACGCTCATTCTGCTAATTCTTTATTATGCCTCGAAGGCACGGAATGTTACAGGAACAGTCATTTGTGTTTGTGTGTATTTGTGAATGTGGGTCAGTAGGGTTGTCTGGATTTTGCTTTAAAATAAAACAGGAGCTGTTTGTACATGTCAAGCCATAAAGTGCAGCAGAAAACACGTGCCCTGAAGACTACATACACACCCTCATTCACACTAACCACTGTTCCCATGCGTCTGCACACATACAGCAGACTTGCGATGAATTCTTTGGAGCACTTTTCTCAGGTTACACTAATCCTGAATAGGTACTGAAACCAAAACAGACCTTTTTTTAATGGGTTAGGTTTAAGTGAGACGCGAGCAATCCCATCTGTTAGGCATGGTCATTACGGTCAAGCTCAAATAAAGCATCATTTTGCAGGTATCAGAATCACTATCAGGATAAAGTAGAATGGTGTATCCCCTCCCATGCTTCAGTGCACTAGGTTTTATCTTTTGATCTGTAATGTGTTTCATGTCCTACATGTAGTACCTAAGAACTTTTAAAGAATTTCCCTCAGTATTTTGAATGTGGGTGTTTTGAATTTTTTTTTTTACTAAAACAGGGTGCTAAGGGACAGGAAGAATTTGTCTAAATGCATGTTTTCATCAATATAATATAATATATTATATTATAATATAACAATAATTTCCTACTGCTTATCATTAATAATACTTTAGAATAAAAAATCATAAATTGGGGAAAAATGTTAATTGTTTAGAGTCAGGATTAGTGTCAGTAAGATTAGTGTTTTTTTTTTATTTCTTTAAAACAAAATATTTTTTTCATGTTTTAGTGGCATAAATGGCAGTGGTATTAGACATTATGCTGACACCTATTGGTGTGGATGCAGCATAGGTCTGGGCGATATGTTGAATATTCACATTACACTTGTGATAATTTTGCTGGTAATATAAAATTTAGCAAGCAACACTTGAAATACTGCATTTTACTCACATGAAACATTTTAGATCTACTTATTTTTAATTACAGTTGGCTGTCTGATTGAAATGTTCCTCTGATTAAATGTTCAATAGGTGGGGTCAGTTTTTTTTTTTTAAGAAAATAATTTTATTCAGCAAAGATGCAATTTATCAAAAGTGACAGTAAAGACACTTATAATGCTACAACAATTCTATTTAAAATAAATGCTGTTATTTTGAACGTTCTATTCATCAACAAATCCTGAAAAAAATGTATCATGTTTTCAGCAAAAATATTAAGCAGCACATCTGTTTTCACATTGATAATAATTTTTTTCTTGCACAGCAAATCATCATATTAGAATGATTTCTGAAATATCATATGACACTGAAGACTGGAGTAATGATGCTGAAAATTCAGCTTTGCATCACAGGAATAAATTACATTTTAAAACATATTCAAATAGAAAATACTGTTTTTATTGTGTTTTAATCAAATAATGCAGTCCTCAGCCTTGGTGAGCATAGCTAGCCTTCAAAAATATATATATATATTGAAATATCTTACTGATCCCAAACAACAACAATAGTGTATTTCAGAGCAAATAAATACATAAAAATATTGAATATCTGTTGAATGTCATCAAAAGGCTAATACACTCCCAAAAAATGCAGGATGATTTATAACACAAAATTCAATTCTTAATTCTGTGTTTCTTCCAATCACTTCTCCTAAATATGAGAAAATGTAATAATGATTCTCGTCTGTAATAATCCATTGCTGGTTTAAAGCACTGACAGCTGCTTATTTGAGCCCAGGTTTTGTTTGAACGATTGAGGATTGTTTTTATTGTTACTGAAAAACTACAATTAAACAAAGCAGCCATCTGGAAATGAATCGACCCGTTTGATAAAGCAGACGCTGCGAATGTCAGCCTTTTGATTGACTCTCTCCTTTGTGTTTGCCTGTAGGTCTGGAATGTCATTATGGAGCAGAACAGCTTTCAAGATCAGAATCAAAATTACACAGTGCCGGTACAGAACGACCAGGTCTGACCACACACGCACACACACACACACACACACACGCGCACACACACACACACGCGCACACACACACACACACACACGCACGCACGCACACATGAGATTTTATGGATTGCACAATACTGAATTGCTTAATGCAGTTATGTGTGACATTCAAAAGCATCACAATAAGTGTAACTTCAGATATATTTAGTTTGGTCAGTGTGCTTTATGACATAGATTCAAGGCCCTAAGTCATATTGCACACACACACACACACACACACACAGACGCACACACACACACACACACACACACTCACGTGCAGCTGCTGGCACAGGCCTGGGCTCACGTGGGCACATGCTGTTATTACACTCGTCAACAGCAGACAGAAGCTTTTATGAATCATCGTAGCAATAATGCTGACATTACCACACTGCTCTGACTCTCACTCTCTTTCTGTTCCTCTGTCTGTCTCTCAGAGGAACATGTTAGGATATGGATTCTATTCTCTGATGTCCAACTTCCTCATCGAGAAAAAGATCGGCCGCGGTCAGTTCAGTGAGGTTTATAAAGCCACGTGTCTACTGAACAACCAGCAAGTGGCACTAAAGAAAGTACAGGTGAACATTTACATGTCTTTAAACTGCATATAAAGACTATACTAAGTAACTCAACAGATTGACGCACCAAAATAAAAAGATCAAGTAACGCAAGAGCGCAGTGCAAACGACGTTTTTAAACTGCATTATAACATACTACTCATACGGTTGCAGTTTGTATACTAAATGCAAATCTGTGTGGAAAAATCAGTCCCATAATGCAATGCACTTGACTTAACCGTACATTGCTAGTGTGACGGATGAACCAAGAACCCATTTCATCATTCATTACTCAACATTAAATGACCATATTTTACACAACCGTGCGTCTGGGTGGATGTTGTAAGATTGTGTTATTTTCTCAGTTTTTTGAAATGATGGATGCTAAAGCCCAGCAGGACTGCATTAAAGAGATCGACTTGTTAAAGGTTAGCAGCGTGCATTTTTAAACTCATACTCATATCTCTGTTTGTGAAAGTTGGTGATGTTTCATATTCATTCTGTGATTGCAGCAATTGAACCATCCAAACGTCATTAAGTATCTGGACTCGTTTATTGAAGACAATGAGCTGAATATCGTTCTGGAGTTAGCAGGCGCTGGTGACCTTTCCCAGATGATTAAGGTCAGTCTCTTGGGACACATTAAACGGCCAAATAACTTTTGGGATCCTCTTTTTTTTTTTTGTCAAAACAATTTATTAAATGTGCATGTGTCAGTGTAATTTATAATAATAGTTTTTGTTAATATTTTGAATAGGATATGATTTTTGCATTCTCTGTTTTCATTTTCATTTTAGTTAAAGTTTTAGTAATTTTGTTGTGTGTGTGTTTGTTCATTTTTAATTTTATTTATTTAATTTTTTAAAATATGTATATATACGATATATAGTTTTTATTAAGTTGTAGTTTTTAGTATTAGTTTATTTATTTTATTAGTTTAATTATTTTAGTTCTTCAGCCTAAATGCCTTCTCAACTAGCTGAAATAAAATTATTGATATATATTATAGTTGTTGTTAATATTTTTAAATTGGAATTTAGTTTTGTATTTACTGTTTTCATTTTAATTTTAGTCAATATTTTTGCAATGTAGTTGTGTTTTTGTCATTTTTTCATAGTTTTTTTATATGTATATAGAGTTTTTATTTAGTTGTAAGTTTTTGTATTATTTAGTATCATTTTAGTTATTTTAGTACTTCAACAAACTAAATGCCTGTGCAACTAGCTGAAAATTATTGATATACTATTATAGTTTATATATATATATATATAATTGGATTTTATTTTTGCATTTTCTGTTTTAATTTTAGTTAAGTTTTAGTAATTTTGTTGTGTGTTTTTCTCCTTTTATGAGTTTTTTTTATATGTTTTTATAGATTTTATTAAGTTGTAGTTTTTAGCATTAGTTTATTTAGTTATTTTAGTATTACAACTTAAATTAAACATCTTCGCAACTAGCTGAAATATAATAAGTTTGTTTTTTATTTCAGTTAATATTTTATTTCAAGCAAAGACAATGTTTACGGTTTTAGGATTAGTTTTAGTTAACGATAGTAACCCTGGCATGTGTAGTATTTTAAGAAGAAGCGGAGGTTGATTCCTGAACGAACGATATGGAAGTATTTCGTGCAGCTGTGCAGCGCACTGGAACACATGCACTCCCGCAGAGTCATGCATCGAGGTAAACTCACTAACTTTCTTTCTAATATAGACACACATGATTTTTACATTAATGTGCCCCCATTTATTTTGTTCTTCTGTGAATGTTTGTGTGTGTATCAGATATAAAACCAGCCAACGTCTTCATCACAGCTACTGGAGAGGTCAAACTCGGTGACCTAGGACTAGGTCGATTCTTTAGCTCCAAAACCACTGCTGCGCACTCTCTTGGTACCACTGACCATCCACACAAACACTCAAATAAACACACACTTCATGCATACATATAGACTGAAATAACAAAACCAGCTAGTCAATTCAAATTCATACATGCACAGGAACTGCATACCTGCTTAACATGTGTCTGTGTCTTTTGCAGTTGGAACTCCATATTACATGTCTCCCGAAAGAATTCATGAAAACGGCTACAACTTCAAATCGGACATCTGGTCCTTGGGATGCTTGCTGTATGAGGTACACAAACACGTTCAGAACTTCATACTAGCATTCATTGATTTAATTTTTGAAAGAAGTCTCTTATGCTCACCAAGGCTGCATTTGTTTGATTGAACATTCAGTAAAAAGTGTGAGTATTATTACAATTTAAAAGAACTGTTTTCTATTTGAATATGTTTTAAAATGTAATTTATTCCTGTGATTTCAAAGCTGAATTTTCAGCATCATTACTCCAGTCGTCAGTGTCACATCATCCTTCAGAAATCATTCTCATATGCTGATTTGCTGCTCGAGAAACATTTCTAATCATTTTGAATGTTGAAAACAGTTATGTTGCTTAATATTGTGGTGGAAACTGATTTTTTTCAAGATTCCTTGATGAAAAGAAGGTTCAAAAGAACAGCATTTGTTTGAAATAAATCTTTTGTAACATTATCATTTTTACTGCCACTTTTGAACAATTTAATGCATCCTAGCTGAATAAAAGTATTAGTTTTTTTTAAATAAATACAGTATCTCACAGAAGTGAGTACATACTTTACATTGTAGCAAAGTGTCATTTCTTCAGTGTTGTCACATGAAAAGATATAATAAAATATTTACAAAAATGTAAGGGGTGTACTCACTTCTGTGAGATACTGTAAATAAATATCATGCACATGTGATGCATTTAAATCCAGGGTTTTCAACCTCTGTCTGAACCCATTAATTTGTTATAGGAGTCTTTGAACTGAAATGTAAAACTTACATCTCTTAATAAATCAAATGCAAAAATATTTTTAAATGTGGTTGAGGTTTATTTAGGGCAGATTGTTTGCATTGTGGTGTGTATTGTAATATTAAAATTAGTGTGTAGTTAAATTCAGTACAAGTTAAGCTCAACAACGGTTGATTACCATAAAAAGTATTTTAATTTGTCCCTTAATATGTATAAACAAACTAAATTCTATTTTACGGTAATGCACTTGCAATCACGTGATCATCATTTTATGAGTGATTTGTGTGTCTCTCAGATGGCAGCTCTGCACAGCCCCTTCTACAGTGACAAGATGAACCTGCTCTCATTGTGCCAAAAGATCGAACAGTGCGATTACCCTCCTCTGCCATCAGAGCACTACTCACAGAAGGTACAAAACACACACATTTACACCAGTGAGTAAAGCTAACATCTCAATACTCCAGTGAGCACAAAAACACATGATGCACAAATATCTTGCAATTTCTGCAAAGGCAAAACTGTGAGATGGAAGCTCTTTGAATTGCAAGAATAACAGTCATAATTGTGATATAAAAAGTAGCAATTGCCTTTTTTTAATTCTTAAAAATTGGCAGAAATAATGCTTTATAGCAGAAATAAATAAAATAAACAAACAATAAATAAATAAGCAACCCTGGAAAAAAATGTAATATACACTTCCTTTTGAAAAGTTTGAGGTCGGTAAATTTTTTTACGTTTTTGCAAACTCTTACGCTCACCTAGGCTGCATTTGTTTGATCAAAAATACAGTAAAATGCGTAATATTGGGAAATATTATTACAATTTAAAATGACTGGTTTCTTTTTGAATATATTTTAAAATGTAATTTATTCCTGTGATGCAAAGCTGAATTTTCAGCATCATTGCTCCAGTCTTCAGTGTCACATGATCCTTCAGAAATCATTCTAATATGCCCATTTGCTGCTTTTATTATTATCAATGTTGAAAATAGTTGTGCTGCGTAATATTTTTGTGGAAACTTTGATAGATTTTATTTCAGGATTTATTGATGAATAGAATGTTCAAAACGACAGCATTTATTTGAAATAAACAATCATTTGTAACATTATAAATGGCTTTACTGTCACTTTTAATCAATTTAACGCATGCTTGCTGAATAAAAGTATTAATTTCATTCAAAAAATACATTTGAACTCTAGCATATATGAAATACTTTGAAGATGCTGTCTAGGTAGTCAGCTCGCTAGATTCTGTAACAGCCCATCTCAACAATCAAATCATGAAAATACAGCATGTGAACAGTTTTGTAAACTGCACACCTTGTATGTGTTGCAGCTCAGAGATCTGGTCAGTATGTGTATCAACCCAGATCCCGACCAGCGGCCCGACATCAGCTTCGTCCTGCAGTTCGCAAAACAGATGCACATGTGGACGTCAAGCACCTGATACAAACACACACACACCTGCAGCAATGAGGAGAACCATTGCGCAAACCTGCGATCTCTGCTCTCTCAATCCAACTGATCAAGCTATAGAAAGATCTAGAAACGAGTAAAGAGAGAATGCGAACAGTGTCTATACTGTTTTAAGCTGAGCGTTTCTCTAGATCTGTATTGAAAGGAATGCCGATATATTCTGTTGTGCCTTCGAATGATGTATCACAGTGCTGTATGCTGATTGGTTTAAAGAAAGTTGGTCAGGGCGGGTGACCAGTGCCTCATGTTGATGATGTCAAAGCAAGGTAGTTCTATTTATACATACTTTTTCTGTTGGCTTATATTCATAACAGCATATAAAGAGCCGTACAGTTGCGTTACTTATCTCTCTTTATGTTTCTGATACACACACACACATACAATTGTCAAGTGTTTTGCAAGGAAAAACACTTGTGTTGGACGGTGAGTTCAGCGGTTTTGTTATCTGGTCAAATATCTACCATATGAAAGTATTCATTATATACATTGTTCCAAAAAGATGTTGTTTTTTAGGAAGCATTTTCTTATGTTTAAATGTGTAATTAATTAACAATAAAATGTAACTGGAAATACTGACTTTGTGACAGCTGTGTTTTGAAGGACATCTGAAGCGTTTTAAACCATTTTCATTAGTGTTGTTCAAATCAGGGTTTTCCCCCCAGATTTTCTGAAGACCCAAAATTATTATCGAGAATTTGTATTTTCTAAGGTTTTTATTTAGCGCCCCCTGGTGATAAACAAATATATTGTTCAATACTATCTTTTATCAAACAAAACGATACAAATCAAACTTCTACTCATTTGTATTTCAACCTTTCAGCTACTGTAACTTGAGCGCATCTTCACAACTCAAATGATTTATTCACAATTTTTGGAGAATGATGTACGCATACTACCATTCAAAAGTATGGGGTCAGTAAGATTTTGTTGTTTTGAAAGAAATTAATACTTTTATCCAGGAAAAAGACACATTAAATTGATCAAAAGTGACAGTAGAGACATTTATAATACTACAAAATATTTCTATTTCAAATATGTGACCCTGGACCACAAAAGCAGTTATGATGTATAAATCTCAATTTCAAAAAATTGACCCTTATGACTGGTTTTGTGGTCCATGGTCACATATATGCTGTTCTTTTTAACTTTGAATTCAACAAAGAACCCTGAAGGTAAAAATAAATGTTTCTTGAGCAACAAATCAGCATATTAGAATGATTTCTGAAAGATCATGTGACACTGAAGCCTGGAGTAATGATGCTGAAAATGTGAAATTACATTTTAAAATATATTTTAATAGAAAACAGTTATTTTAAATTGTAATGAAGTTTCACAATATTACTTTTTTACTGTTGTTGTTTTTGATCAAATAAATGCAGCCTTGGTGAGCAGAAGAGACTTCTTTCAAACATATTTTTTTTTTTAAATAAATAAATCTTGACATTAATTGACCCAGTATTTAATTTGCCTGCCATATATTTAGATTAAAAACACAAAATAAGGGGTTACCCAAAATAGATGATCCCATTCTTCTTTTTTTTTTATTTTTTATAATAATAATAATAATAGCACAGAAGAGTCTGATAAGATGCACAAGAAAAGACACAAACTTCAACTCACAACTTCTTTTATTGGAAATAATGAAAAATTACTAAACCACCACATAAGACTTGGGGACAATGGTTATAGGGGAAAGAAACAGGTCAAAGTGTGGTGGGTTGTGTCATCTCAGGTGGTGTCCATGGTCTGCACGCTTTCCTCCACCACCTCCAGGTTCAGATGAGTCACGGCCTTCGTCAGAACACCGGTAGTTCCATGCTTGTACCTGTAGTTTCCGGTTCTGTGAGGAAAATACACACACACACAAAAAACCAATGAAATTAAAGAAGATGCAACTCCTGCAAAGAAACTAAAGTCTAATCACACACACAACTCTAATCAGGACTGCAACATTGATGTTTTTCACAAGATAAAACGGAAATACACTTTGGTGCTCTACAAAACATGTATAATGATGTTAGCAGAAGATTGTAAGAGAAAAATCACCAAACAGCTTGTCAGTTTGAACAACTCAACTACTTCAACCTCACACCTGGTTAGTCAAACACATGCAGGTTACAGTTTTGTCTAGACGTGGTGCACGTTTTAACACGCGGGCTACTCACTCAGGGCGTCCATTAATCTTATCCTCCCTTAAAAGGGAACAGTGAAGCATGAGCCTTTCATTTGGTTAAAATATCTGATTAATATCATGCACATGTGGTGGCCTGCATTAACAGACTGTTAATCATACTGACCATTTGTGTCTAGACTTAGACTACCTGCACAATGATTGCAATAAGCTGATTATGTAATAATCATAACATGCCTTTTCTTACTCATTTATAGAGGTGTATATGCTGGCTGGGCATTTATGTCAGTTTAAGGTTCTTTTTAAAATGCACACAATCAGATGTTCATGTGAATTAGACTGATTATACAGATTTCATCACTGCCTCCATGCCACCGTGCATAAGTGTTAACTGCAAAGTTTAGACAGGTGTGTATGAGGTGATGATCCTCTGGCAGTAGAGATGCTCACCTGACACCCTTCTTGTTGGCCACATCATGAGGTCTCAGGTAGTCCACCTTCCCCTTGGTGATCACACACAGGTCGATGTTGCTGCCTGAGCCCAGGTCATTAAAGATACCGGCCGCTATGGCATCCCGCACCAGACGCTTGGCCTCTTCCTCCTGATCGACACAACCAGCATCAACATTATCTTAACTGCAGTGGAATAGACTGTTCATATGTGTTTTAACCAATTTACATGCATACTGCATTCACAAAAAACAATTTACCGCTCATATTTCAACTGTCAAACCCAAAATTACTACGTATTTCTTTTATTTATTACGATTATCTCCCATGAATTTTCTAAGTTTAAACATCAGTTTGTTTTGGAAACTCTCGGATATTGTCAATATGTCCATGTCTACTAACACTCAAGTTTAGGGGTGTTTTTTTTTATGTATTTAAAAGAAATCCATTATGCTCACCAATGCTGCATTTTTTTGATCAAAAACCCAGTAAAAACAATAACATCGTGAAAAATTATTACAATTTCTTATTATTACAAATATTATTACTGATTTCTAATTTGATGTATTACAAATATGATTTATTCCTGTGATGCAAAGCTGAATTTTCAGCATCATTACTCCAGTCTTCAGTGTCACATATGATTCATTTTCACATCAGAAATCATTCTAATGTGCCGACTTGGTGCTTATTTTTATAAATGTTGAAAACAGTTGTGCTGCTTAATATTTTTGTGAAAAATGTGATTCATTTTTTTAGGATTTTTTTTCAGGATTCTTTAATGAATAGAAAGTTCAAAAGAACACCATTTATTTAAAACCCAATTATTTTGTAACATTATAAATGTCTTTACTCTCACTTTTTATCAATGTAATGCATCTTTGCTGAATAAAAGCAATAATTTCTAAAACAAACAGGAAAAAAAAAACCTTGCCAACCCCAAAACTCTAAACGTTAAAATAAGAGCCAAAAAGACATATAAATGCACATAACAGAGGGTACCTCCATGTTGGGCCTGTAGCGATCCTCAAAGACAGCCATTGCTGCCAGAGATCCAGAACCTGATGAAACAAACACGCACTGATGTTAGCAGTGAGAAAGAGCAAAATCTAATAGAGCGTCTTCTGCAATAACAGATATTCATTAAATGATACGTGTCATGTCATATGGGGCACAACTAGCAAAGCCAGTCAGTCAGACAGACAGACATCTATCTTGGCATCAGTCAAAGGCTTTTCAGAAACACACACAATGTCTCCCCCTTTTGGTGGAATGGGAAGATGATTCATATAGGTATGTGACTCACCCATAGTGACATAGGGCAGTTTGTCTGTTGATCCGTGAGGATAGATGCTGTATAATTGTGGGCCGGTGGAGTCAACCCCTCCGAGAACTAACGCAGCACCAATATAACCCTGATACCTACATTTGAAACACACAGTAGACTCATACACTACAGATCAAAATTTGGAATAATTACATTTTTTTTAAACGTTTTTTTAGATTAGTCTTATGCTCACCAAGGCTCCATGTATTTGTACAATATAAAATACAATAAAAACAGTAATATTGTGAACTATTATTACAATTTAAAGTAACTGTTTTCTATTTAAATATAAAAGCCAATACTCCAGTCTACAGTGTCACAATATTACTGTATATACTGCATTTTTATCAAATAAATGCAGCCTTGGTAAGCATAAGAGACTTCCTTTCAAAAACATTAACAACTCTTATTCCAACCATTTGACCTGGTAGTGCACATTCACATCATAGAGTGCTGTGATGATTCATTACCTGAAGAGCATCTGTTTGAGCATGCGGTTGGCGGTGGCGACTCGTGGGAGACGGCCGGTGGACAGAGAATGGAGCTCCAGGTTCGAGGAGATGATCTGTGTGGTCATCTCAGTGTCTGCTGCGGTACCGGCTCCGCAACAACTACAGAATGAGAGGAAGAGAGAGAGACCGTTTCAGAACAATGTCACTGGATTTCTGGGATTGTAAATCACAAAGATGTGAGTTTTGCGTTATGATGTGTTTGCACTCACTATACGTTGGGAGAGATGTAGTGAATTTTAGAACAGTTCTTATCGGCGACGACCATTCCTTCAGTCGCACGAGTGTCTGCACCTAAAACAACACCATCCTGAGAGCGAGAGAGATGATTTTTATGAGGCAATCTTCCTTCTAGTTCATCTTTTTTTTTAAGTCAACCCCTTTTTACTTACCTTGTAAACAACTCCACAAATGGTGGTGCCGGTTTTACGAGCAGCAGGAGAGCTGAAACCGAGCTTATTGATGTCTGCTTCCAGAAGAGCATTTCTATAACAACACAAACATTTCAAATTTTTTCCGAAATATAATTTTTCCGCTCTTTATATTTAAACTCCGCTTATTTAGGAACTTAAATAAGATGTTACCTTAGCAACAAAAAAGTGGAAAGCCACTGGTTTGACCAGTCAGCATATGTACTGTATGTATTATGTTTTTGATTCATACTGACAGCATGTCATTGTCAACAACAGATTCATCGGCAAAGTTCTCCTGACAACTAGTGGACACTTCTAATGCACCTCCATATCAGCACTCTTTTGTGGTTAGTGCAAAATATTTACATTTATACAGAAACAACCAAATTAAGCCAACCTAATTGGGTTTATATAACAGAAAACATTAGTTACATTTAAAATAAATAAATAAAGACAACAAATCAACGCTTCGTCTTTGCTGTTACAAAAACAGTCAGTCATGTATCTCGTATCTAGCCTAACTTTTAACTTTTCTGTTACATACTAATCAAATACAAATCGCAGAATGATTTGATTAATTAAAAAAAGTGATTTCTGATGTAAAAATGGATAAACTAATGTTATTTGAGAGTTTAATTGTTAATTTAGTCTGAACTTGCGACACAGACTATAAGCGCGGGGTCGAAGCCCAGCAATTACAACAAAATATCAAAAATAATAAACAAAAACACG